GCGACCCTGTATAGGGTTTCCGGGGAGCAGCTGATGAGTTTGAACCGCTGACCTTGTGGTTCAAACTGACCTTGTAGTCCAGCACATTAGCCCGCAGCACCACATACATAGCACCATGTAATGGCAGAGCCTGAAGCAACCTCAGGCATTCTCTTCCCTCTGTCCTCTTTGAACAGGTAAGAAAACCAATGCCAGAAATAAGACGTGACTTGCCCAAGATCACACAGCTAGTAAGTCACAATGTCAGACCTTGAACCTAGATTTTCTAACCCCCGGTGCTCATTTTACATTATCAGGCTGGTCGGGAAAGTCTTCCCCAACCACCATCACCTGGCCTCGCTAGGCTTTTGAGATGCCACCCAGCAACCAGAGGGAAATGAGGAAGGTTGTGCCCAGTCCGGGTGTCTTGCCTTGGGCATGGGTACCTGGTTCCCTGCTCCAGAAGTGGCTAAAAAGGGCTGAGTAAGAAGCAGGAGGCCATTAGGACCCAGAAGCTCTTGGAGCATCCTGCCCTGCCGGCTGCTTCTCACCCGTTCACTGCAGTGGTTCAGGCTTCAGCAGCCTTGGAGAAGCATCAGCTGAGAAGAGCTATCACATGGGAGCTGGGAGCTGCTCAGCAAAGGTAGGAGTTGCCGACTAGGCCAGGAATGGGGGCCAGACCCAGGGCCTGGTGGTGAGGGCTGAGGTACCCTACAGAGGGGTAGCCTTGCACCCCAAGGACCAGTCCACCATACCTAATGGTGGTCAGTTCTATCAGGGGATGGGCTCCCAGGTATCCCGAAGGCAGTATTGTGGTATAGACATCTCTGAAGCCTGGAGATGTGGGGGAGGGGTGATCTACTGCCGGCAGGAGTACCCATATCCTGCAGACAGATAGGGCTCTCCATCCATCTTGCTCCATGTCATAGAGATAGGTCCTCCACATCCTAAGAATGGGTCCTTCGGCATCCAGTCCAATGGGCAACTCTGTTCTGGGCATGGGTAACTCTGCTGGGGGTGATGGTGGTGGTGGAGGGAGGGCTGTTCTAGCTCCCTAGGATGGCATCCTCTGGGGCTTAGGAGGGGGGCATGCTCTTGTCTGCTGAAAAAGCCAGGCTTGAGTCCTTGGGATGGATGTTCTGTATCTGGGAAACAGGTGCATGTGAATCCCAACAACACCTCTGTGGTCTTGGGCTGGTCACTTCTGTACTCTGGGGGCAAGCCCATCTTACACCCTAGAACCAGAATATCTGTAATTTGACCATGTCCCTTTGCAAGGCCCAGATCTCAGTCCTATGGTGGCAAAGCCTGTCAGGTATTGAGAGGTACTAGACTGGGAGGGGGTTGTTGGGAAGAAGCAGTTGGGGGATGGGAGCATCTGTTGGGGCAGAAGACATGATGTTATGCACTTAGAGTAGAGGAGGCTCCCTGGGTTTTCCCTATGACACCGTTTTACACCAGGTCCCTCCCCTCCATAACCATAGTTCAACAGTGAGGAAGTGCTGAGGAACCTACTGTATCGTGCGGTCTGTTAGGAGGTAAAGTGGAATCCTGGAGATACTGCCAACGCGGAGAAGGCTATGAAAATGAGACCTGCCCAATGCCTTCTTGTCTAGGCTTCATCATGGCTGCACGGCACCTCTTCGTCTCCACGTGGAAACCATGTCTGTTTCCCTCTGGCTGGGACCCTGCTTGGGCCCTGCTACACCAGCCTCTTTGATGCCCATCCAGACATGGTAGCCCTCTCTCTCCTCCATGAGCTGGGCAGTGCTGGTGACAACAACTACCAGGGCCTCAGAGCTCCACTCACAAGTGGAAGAGATGAGTAAATCATAGCATGGGGCTTTAGGGGCAAGGATGCTTCCCCTAGTACTTCTTTCTGGCATGTCTCCTGGTAGACTGTCCTATGAGATACTGATGTATCCACTTCTGGATCCTTTCGTCTTCTTTTCTGCAGACCCTGGATCTATGTGGCCATTTTAACCATGAAGTCAGTGTTCTATTGTCTCTAGAGAGAGGCATATCTTTAGGCAGCTGTCCAAACGTAGAGCCATCTTGTGTCCTAGAGCCTGGGTTACCTTTCTAGAAGCTCTGTGTCCCTGGGTGGTATACAGTTGAACAACTGAGTTTTCTTGGAGTTTGTCCTGGGAACAGGGATTCAACTCATCAACTTGAGTTTGAGTCAATTCACAGAACTGTACTGAGGGACCAGTCGCTGAGGAAGGATATCATGTTTGGTAAGGTGGAGGGTCAGAGAAAAAGAGGAAGACCCCCAATGAGATGGATTGGCCAAGTGGCAGCATCAATGGACTCAAGTGTGGCAACAGTAGTGAGGTTGGCCCAGGATCGGGCAGTATTTTGTTCTGCTGTGCATAAGGTCGCTATGAGTCGATACCGACTCAATGGCACCTAACAACAACAATAACAACAATCTATCGCATGCATAGCATGCTAGAAGGTAGACTAGCATGCAAGATTAGTAGTAATATTAAAAAACATGGGTGATGGTAAGGCCGCAACTATGGAAGATGTGGGACCCATCTGTCCCAGGTGTCCTTTTTAGAGCAGCTCAAAAAAATAATGAGTTTTTAAACAGAACAACCACCAGACCTTTTTTAGCCCAGGAACTCAGAGCTATCAAATGTGATCATGTGTAGGACCTTGGAAATCTTCCAGTTCTCCCCTTCCCATTTAACAAATGAGGAAACTGTGGCCCAGGAAACTTTGTGGCTTGTCTAGAGAAAGACCTCTCCCTTAATTTGCATACCTTAACATATTATCCTTAGGAAGTTTTGACTGCAAGAACAGAATATGGAAAAGAAAGAATGGTTTTAAGTTATGTGGGCAACTACCATGTTTTTCACACTCACATAAATACTGCGTGCACACATAGAGCACACATAGTATGCGTAAAAAACTGACATGCAAGAGGGTTGTACAGTTCGAAGAAAAAAAAAAGTCATAGAGTATATATTATTTGAGTAAATGGTAGATGCAAACTCAGCATGGATAAGGTACCTAAATTGGAGTTCATCTGTCATCCTAGCTTAGGAGAAAGGAGAGATGCTAAATTACAGAGTTCCTCCTCTCCTACTTCCTTTCAGTTTTCTTCTCAGCTTTCTGCTCATCCACTTCCAGGATCATAGTCGCCTACCCACTCTCACACATACCCACCCTCTTCCAGAGATACCTACTCTTTCTTCTATGGCTGTGCCCCATCCCTCTCCAGGAGTAAGATGACTTTGGGCAAATATCCTTTAAAGACCAGAGACCTAGGGAGCTGGGAGCAGGAGGCTGAGAGCAACTCAGCTTCTCTCCCACCTGCCTGGGCAGGTTGGCTTGGAGAAGTTTGTGAGTGGGTGGCGGAGGCTTTCTGCTCCTGTAAAGATTTACAGCCTTAGGAACCCTATACAGGGTTGCTGTAAGTCGGAAACAACTCCACAGTATACAACAACAACAACATGCTCTCCCGGCATCAGAGCCTGGATAAAGTAGCCTCCCAGTTTACTTCCAGCAGTGATATTTTGTTTTCACTGTCCTTCTCAACCCACTAACAGTCCAGAGTGGCAGCCCTTGGTGCTTGGTGGTGAGGGAGAGGTGGTGTCAGAGGAGGCGGAAGCACAATTCTGTACCTTTGCAGGTGGTCTTTTCCCAGTGGTAGCCCTAGAGCAGCAGTGAGAAACATCCTTAGAGATGGTTCATACACCACAATATTTACTGAGTGTCTATTACTTTCCAGCCTCAGAGGAGGACACCTTTATGCCCAGCATGGCAAGGAAGACAGGAGTACTGGCCCTGGAGTCAGGCTACTTGGGTGTATGCTCAGACCTTATCACCTATTAACTGTGTGACCTTGGGTAAATTACTTAATCTCTCAGGTGTTTTATCACCTGTAAAATAGAGATAAGAATAATATCTATCTCATAGGGTTGTCATAAAAATGTTAATATATGTGGAATGTTTGTTGTTAAGTGCCTTCAAGTCATTTCTGACTCACAGCAACCATATATAGGGTTTTTGAGGAGCAGTTGGTGAGTTTGAACCACAGACCTCGTGGTTCAAAGTGACCTTGTGGTCCAGTGCATTATCCCACAGTGCCATACCAGGATTCCATATGGAGTGTTTGTTGTTGTTATGTGCTGTGGAGTTGGTTCAGACTCACAATGACCCTGTACAGGGTTTCTGAGGCTGTAAATCTTTATGGGAGCAGAAAGCCTCATCTTTCTCCTGGGGAACAGCCGGTAGTTCGAACTGCTGACCATGAGATTAGCAGCCCAATTTGTAGCCACTACGCTACCAGAGCTCCTTATATATATTTGGAGTCCTGGTGTGGCATTGTAGGATAATGCAAGGTCGGAAGTTCAAGCTCACCAGCTGCCCCCTGTAAGCCCTATACAGTGTTGCTATGAATCAGAACGGACTTGATGGCACTTAACAACAATCACATATATCCACTACTATTAAAGCCAGTTGTGAAGTACATTCTATTCCCTTCATTTTACAGATCCCTGTGTGAGGAGACGGAAGTGGAGAAGAGTCACAGAGTTAGTCATTCCCAGGCCTGGGACTGGAAGCCACCTCTGGTACTCCTTGGGCTTCCCAACAGCTGCTGCAGTTCTGAGGAGACCAGAAAGCAGGACATTTACATAAACTATCTGAAAACTCAGGAGAACCCAGGGGAAGGGAGGCAAAGGGTTGAGAATCCCTGGGTTACAGTCCTTGAAAGAGAAGGGCATGGAGAACAGAGGAACAGAAGTGGAAAAGAAGACATCAGAGACCACTCAGCAGGTGGAGCGCTAAGGGCACAGGACTCCCACATCTCCTGTTTCTCTGCAGGCACCTAGGTGGACCCCAGAGCTACCTCAGGCCAAAAAGGGAATATGAGCTCCTAAGTCCTCAGCTGCCTGGTCTGGTGCCACTGTGCCCTGAAACTGGCTCCAAGAGCCTGCCTGAGAGGCTCCACTAGGAGTTGCCCACCACAAACTTGGGAAGCCTGGGCCTGGGCTTACCATCCCAGGGTCGCAGGACTAGGATGGGGGATGGGCCTGTGACAGGAGGTGCCCTGGGCGTCCTCTTTTGGCCCCATGGAGTCCTCACCCAACCCCCAGTCAGCAGGGAACTCTTCCTTTTTAGGGAGAGTCCCTCAGACTCCAGGCCCCTCAACTGCCAGTGGGGTCCCGGAGGTGGGGCTGAAGGATGTGGCTTCAGAGTCTGTGGCCCTCTTCTTCATGCTCCTGTTGGATCTGACGGCTGTGGCTGGCAATGCGGCTGTGATGGCAGTTATCGCTAAGACTCCTGCCCTCCGAAAATTTGTCTTCGTCTTCCACCTCTGCCTGGTGGACCTTCTGGCCGCCCTGACCCTCATGCCCCTAGCCATGCTCTCCAGCTCTGCCCTTTTTGACCATGACCTCTTTGGGGAGGTCGCGTGCCGCCTCTACTTGTTTCTGAGTGTATGCTTTGTCAGCCTTGCCATCCTCTCCGTGTCGGCCATCAATGTGGAGCGCTACTATTACGTGGTACACCCCATGCGCTACGAGGTGCGCATGACACTGGGGCTGGTGGCCTCTGTGCTGGTGGCGGTGTGGGTGAAGGCCTTGGCCATGGCTTCCGTGCCAGTGTTGGGAAGGGTCTCCTGGGAGGAAGGAGCTCCCAGCATCCCCCCAGGCTGCTCGCTCCAGTGGAGCCGCAGTGCCTACTGTCAGCTTTTTGTGGTGGTCTTTGCAGTCCTTTACTTCTTGTTGCCCCTACTCCTCATCCTTGTCGTCTACTGCAGCATGTTCCGAGTGGCTCGCGTGGCTGCCATGCAGCATGGGCCCCTGCCCACATGGATGGAGACACCCCGGCAACGCTCGGAATCGCTCAGCAGCCGTTCCACTATGGTCACCAGCTTGGGGGCCCCCCAGACGACTCCACACCGGACGTTTGGGGGAGGGAAGGCGGCAGTGATCCTCCTGGCTGTGGGGGGTCAGTTCCTGCTTTGTTGGTTGCCCTACTTCTCTTTCCACCTTTACGTGGCCCTGAGTGCTCAGCCCATTTCAACTGGGCAGGTGGAGAGTGTGGTCACCTGGATCGGCTACTTCTGCTTCACTTCCAATCCCTTCTTCTATGGATGCCTCAACCGGCAGATCCGGGGGGAGCTCAGCAAGCAATTTGTCTGCTTCTTCAAGCCAGCTCCAGAAGAGGAACTGAGGTTGCCTAGCCGGGAGGGCTCAATTGAGGAGAACTTCTTGCAATTCCTTCAGGGGACAGGCTGTCCCTCCGAGTCCTGGATTTCCCGACCCCTACCCAGTCCCAAGCAGGAGCCACCAGCTGTTGACTTTCGAATTCCAGGCCAGATAGCTGAGGAGACCTCTGAGTTCCTAGAGCAGCAACTCACTAGTGACATCATCATGTCGGACAGCTACCTCCGTCCTGCCCCCTCACCCAGGCTGGAATCATGATGGGTGGTTGGACACTTGAGGGTGCTAGGACTGGGGCTAGTTATGATTGCAAGGACCACCACATGGAATCGCCTTTTCCCACCTGACTGGGGCTGGGAGTGGGGACTCTGTACACAGCTTCTGCTCAGCATTTCCTGGGTCAAGAATAGCGCTAACAGGATGGACGTGTGGCAACAGCCTTGGACTTGGCTGTGATCCTTGACTACTGGGGGAGGGAACCTGGGGATGGTGAGATGGTGACAAGAGAAAAGGGTCACAAAAGGTGAGGTGAAGCCTCTTAACCAGTGAACTTTCCATGCTACAGGGAGCAGGAAAACTGTCCAACGCCAGGAATTGGAGGACACAGGGCAGTAGGCCAGGTTTGGAGTTATTCTGGAGTCATTTTGAATATTTCCCAGTATAATTGTCCAAAAAAGTTAGGAAAATGACACGTCTTCTCATTGCCTTGTTAGATTTAAAACCAAACTGGTTGCCATAGAGTTGTTTCTTGTTCATAGTAACCTTATTTGTTGTTGCTGTTAAGTGCCGTTGTTAAATGCTATCGAGTTAGTTTCAACTCATAGTGACCCTGTACGGGGTTTCCAAGGAGCAACTGGTGGGCTTGAATTCCTGACTTTCTGGTTAGCAGTCTAATGATTATCCTACAACACCACACCAGGACTTCAGTAACTGCCCCATAGGATTTCTAAGGCTGTAATCTTCATGGTGTTCTTGTGTGGTGCTCTGGGTTAATGTGCTGAATTGCAAGGTTGGTTTGAACCTCAGTCGCTGGTTCAAGCTCACCAGCCACTCCTTGGAAACCCTATACAGGGTTGCTATGAATTGGAACCAACTTGATGGCACTTAACAACAACAATCTTTATGGTGTGGTGCTGTAGCATAACACTGGATTGCTAACTCCAAGGTTGGCAGTTCAAACCCACCAGCTGCTCTTTGTAAGCCCTGTATAATGTCACTATGAGTCAGAACCAACTTGAAGGCACTTAACAACAGCAATGATCATTATGGAAGGGAGTGTGGTGGTTCCATATGATAAGCATTTGACTATAAAAAACAAGGTTGACCATTTGAGCTGCCAGTTGCTCCATGGGAGAAAGGCAAGGCTTTTTACTCATGCAAAGATTTAAAGCCTTAGAAACTCTATACAGGGTTGCTATCAGTGGAACCTATTCAATGGCACTTAACAACAATAACAACAAATCTGTATGAAAGCAGGTAGCCACATCTATCTCCCATGGAGTGGCTGGTTGGTTCAAATTGCTGATCTTGTTGGTTTGCAGCCAAGTGCTTAGCCACTGTGCCACCAGGGCTCATTCTTGCTAGGTTTAAAAAAAACTAAATTACAACCAAGTGTTTGAATTGGCGTTAATAAATCTTTTTCTAATTTTATATTGAAATTTCCTTAAAGTGAGAGGTTGATCTGGGTATAGTCTTACCTACCACTGTTATGTTTGGCCAGACGCAAAGGGAAGTAGGAGTCAGGATACAGGGAGTAGAAGACAGGAATGCTGCCTGGGGCTCTCCCCCACTCTCCAGCCCTTCTCCTCCATTCCCCTGTCTCTCCTACACACAGGAGATCAAGCGTGGGACTTGATCCCAGCAGAGTGAAGAATAAAAGAGGATGGATTTTTATCTCTTTTAGGATGAAGAGGTTGAAAATATTGGGAGTGGATGGTTGAGAGTAGGGGTTAGTTATGGTGGCTGGGCAACCACCCTGCCTGATCAATAATATTAATAATCTTTTCCTTCCAGGACTGGCCTCCCTGATCTTTCTCATCGCAGTGACCCACCTTCAGCCCCCTGGACAATCGGGTACAAGAGACTAAGGTTGGGCATGGGAAGGGTGGAGTTTCCATGGTCAACTAAATGCCTCTCTACTCTCATTCATCGTTCTCAAAAACTAGCTTCAGTGACCAAGATTTAAATCTCTCTCCTTTCTACAGCCCTGGGTTGGAGAAAGAGGGTATAGGAGTTGGGCTTAACTGTTCACTGATTGAGACTGGAGGAACTGTGTTATTTCGTATTGGCAGCCAAGGCATGGACCAACCAAATTTTCAAGGGAGGTGGAATAATAGCAAACTACACAGGTCATCCATCTGGGACTACCTCTCCATGCCACTTCCCTTAGTTGAATCAGGCGACGCAAAAAGGTCAAGGCAGGGCCAGGGAGTGGTGTGGGCTGTATTTGAACTAATGCCTGGCTCACTGAACATCGAAGGGGAAAACAGGATGGCGGGAGTAAGGGTGTTCCCCTTTCGAACAGCTAATAAATAATTTTATTATAAAAATTTATACTGATAGCAACATTGACTCCTTCAGTTCAATTCAGTGCATGGTAGTTGAACATCCACATTGTCTGGGACCAACACAAAAGATGTGGGGCTCTTGTTTCCAAGTACTTCACAATCTAATTTGATCAGATACTTTGTTTTTTTAGAGAACATTTATAGCTGGTAAAGCACCACAGAAAATATTTGAGAACTATATTGGAAGAATATATCCATGGTTATAACTTCTGAGAGTTCAGTTCACTGCAGAAATATAGCTACTTCCTGTAATCCTTATTTCTGCAGCTTCTGGAAAAGATGGGGCTGTAAAAAAACAAGTATCTAGTGGAAAAAATTATTAAATGAAATTGGGCAAACATAGCTTTCTCCCTCTTGACCTAGAATTATTTCCAGCTTTCTGTCTTCCTACCATCCAGTTTAATGCCTATCGTGGCAGTGTAGGATATGCAAAGGACTGTTAATGGCAAGGTCAGCAGTTCAAATCTACCAGTCGCTTCACGGAAACCCCATACAGGGTTGCTATAAGTTAGAATTAACTTGATGGCACTTAACAAAAGTGCTTATTATATATAGAAAATACCTCATAAATGTAGTATAGTTCCTGGTTTGATACTGTAGGATAAGCACTGCACTGCAAAGTTGGTTTGAACCGCAAGGTGGGTGGTTTAAACCCACCAGCCGCTCCTTGGAAACCCTATACAGGGTCTCTGAGTCGAAGTGACTCGACTTAACAACAACAACATACAGCCTTTGTAATTGAAAAGCAGATTTGTAATCCACCCCCTCAAACATTTTAAGATAAAACTGTAGAGTCTCATTGCTAGAAAAGGGAAAAACTTTTAACTACCACTGGTCAGCTAGTAGATCCTAAGTATTGCCAGAAGGTGGCAGTATGAGTCCAGTTAAAGCAGGAAAAAGGTTTGATTGGCAAAAGGAAGAATTAAACATTGCTTGGCAGCCATTTTGTTAATTTATTTTGCCCTTTCCTTTGGCTTTACCCTCCAACCTTTCTTTCACATACATCAAAAGAGAAAGTTTGAAGTGCAAGGATCTTTCTAATTCAAGCCAAAATTTCCTGACACTGTGATCTCATTGGTGTTTATCACTGAGTTTGATAAAATTGGTTCATTGCTATTTATTTTTTTCCTGAGTGGATCAAGAAGGAAATAAAATTTTCTGTTATGCTGAGTATATGCTCAACATTTTCTGACATGACTACCTACCTTTCAGGAGTTTTCTAGGCACCAAGATGGCTTGATAATGGTCACTTTGTAATCCTTAGCTCTGAAAACAGTTCCTGGGCAAAATCAATGCCTTAATCAACAGAATTAATGAGTTGGGTCAACCATTCTGTCCTTGATTCCTCGCTCTCTGCATCCTGGTGGTGTTGGGGTTACTCCCAATCTTGGATTAAAAATTTAGCCCTTCTGTTATCAGGCAACCTATAGGGACATGGTAGAAAAGGGGCAAATTTGAAGTTAGATAGAGCTACTTACACACTGTGTGACCATGGGAAAGCTGCTTAACTTCTCTGAGCCTATGTCTTCATTTGTGAAAATGGGGATAATATTACCTACTTTACAAGGCTGTTTAAGGATTAAAAGAGATGCCACTTGAAAGCACCTAGCCATACCTGGCGAATAGCTACTCAGTAAATGTTTTCTCTTCCATTTCCTCTTGCCTTCAGGGCCCCTCTCCCCTTCCCCCTCAAAATACTGGTTATGGTCATCCTAATAGTCTTTCAAACTTTGAAGAATTGGTATTGACACGTTTTGGTGGGTTAGGTTAATGCGGCTCTTGAGAAATTACTCTAATTAATGAATCATCCCCATATGAACATTTCTGTTGGGAACCTCAGATTCTATTAGGATAATTACATAATTTTTAATTAGAGGCAGACTTTGGGGTTCCTCTCCCTGGGAAGTATGCGGAGGGTATTTGTAGGGCGTTTGGCAGTGAAAGGAAGCTAAAGCTGTGTTCATCTAGTACTACAACTTCTCTTATTTGTGGTACCACAAAGTAAGCACAAGGTGGGCTTGAACTGCAAGGTCGGTGGTTCAAACTCACCAGCCGCTCCTCGAAAACCCTATATAGGCTCAGAGTCTGAACCGACCAGATAGCACTTAACAACAACACAGTACATTTAGGAGATTCACAAGATGCACTAGTTTGTTTTGGAGGATAGGAGATTGTCTAATCTTTGCAGAAATCTTAAACCCCTAACCTAAGAGACTAGTGGTGGTGGTGTGCCGTGGAACCTGTTCTGATTCATAGCGACCCTGTAGAGGGTTTCTGAGGCTGTAAATCTTTACGCGAGCAGAAAACCTCATCTTTCTCCCGCGGAACCGCTGGTAATTTCGATCTGCTGACCTTGAGTTTAGCAGCCTGACTCGAACCACTACGCTACAGTAAACATTGAAATTGACTAAAATGGAGAAGGGCAGCATGACTTTTTTTTGTTTTTTTTAAGGTTTTTATTGTGGATTGAGTGAAAGTTTTCAGGGCACATCATCAGTTTCACATTCAAACATTCATATACCTTGTTTCATTACATTGATTATAATCCCCTCCACATACCATCAGTTAACAGAGTTTCTCTCTATCCTCTTTAGCTTTTTTTGGGGGAAAAACTTTGCCTTTTTGGAATTTACAGTCTTGGCTTTTAGGGAAGGTTTTTACATTTATCTGTGGGTATCCAGGGCTCATGTATGGAATTACTAACTAGCATAACTGAATAATCAGATAAGGGGCATTTTGCTATGTTTG